ACAGACTGCACTGTAAGAAGATTCACGAGAAACAACAGATGGCCATTTGTTGTACATTGTTGCCAACTGTCAAATGAAGCTCTTATCTTTTTGATAATCTGTAAAGTTTTGTTTGATTTCGTGAGTTTTTCATCCACTGCTCTTGAAACACCTGCCAATATTAAACAGCCGAACTTTCTTAAAAAGAAAAACATTGTTGAAATAGTAAAGGTGGAAGCGCTCATAGCAAGTCATTTACATCCCTTTCCGTTCGCCCCCACATTTAATTTACAAATGTCAGACCAGCATTGCATTCAGTATGCTCAAAACTTATACTTCAGTTGTTAAGAGTTCCTAAATTTTAACCCAGGCGAGGAATGACGCAACGTCTTCAACATATCATGGAGCCAGTTCTTTTTTATAGGATCTAGACTACGAAATTTCACGAAGCAACCAGGTGGAAATTCAGACATGGCTGCTTTGTGAACTTTGATATATCGTGCAAAAGGACTGAGAAAATTTATGTCAACCTTATTCAGGTTGTCATGCTCAGGTTTTTCGCCAATTTCTTCAAAAGATTTAGTATCAGCACCTGTAATCTTCCAAATACAATTACAACCCATGAGCATTTTTCCAAAGTTCAGTGGAATACAATTATATTTTGCACCCGTAACAGGATATGACATCAAAAGTAACACGATGTCAAGCGATTTTTACTAAAAATTTAGAAGTGTTTTTTTAGAACGAATTTACAGATATATTGGAAATACTCTAACAGGTGAAGAATAAACTGTTGTTTCCCTCAGAAACCCAATTTCGTCTCAAACAATAGTTTTAGTACTCCCTGAAAGGAAGTCTTTCAAGGCCTGCAGTCTTCTGGACTTTTCGTCCTCTTCAGTGAGTCCATCTCCTTTGACAGGTGCTTCAAAATCTAGATCTTCCTGTTGAAAATATTGTGGATATTTCTGGGCGTATAACTCCCTGAGTTGTTCGAATGTTCTGCCAATAAAGCCTCCATCACTGTCTGCCTGCTCCCTAAGTTCAGTGAGGCAGTTTCTCAGACTAGTTTGGAAAGAAACCGAAAATAATAGATTCAGGTTAGATCTCTCAATTGAAAATAATTTTACAAACTGACACAATTATCATAGTCGTTGAGAGCTGACGAATAGCTCCAAAAACGAATACTGCGATTTGTTTGTGATTTGAAAGATGTCAAATGGAGCCGTAAAGTGCGTACACGCGTGATAATCGTAATTACAACCATTATTTTCGCTTGCCTACTTATTCTTTAAAGTCTTAATGAAACGAACATCACAAAACAAATAGCAGGGTGAAACAAATTAACAAAGCATAAGCAATCAAACAATGTCATTTGAGGAATCACATTTGGGTGTACTAAACTTATTAAATTAACTGCAACATTTGGCTTTAAATAAAGACTTCGCATTCTTAAATTCCAAAACACACAGAGGTGACTAACCTTAACTGAAAAAAAAAAAAACCAAAACAAAAACAAAAAAAAACAGGAGTACACGTAAGTGTCCAAGTCAACCCTCAATGCCAACTTCAAACAGACGTGATTGGTTAAATTATCAAATCACGTGCGCCGCGCGTGAATACAAAAGAATACTTAAAGCGGGAGACAGCTGCCGTATTACACTCGCAAAAACTTTATAAAACGTGTGGAATAAATAAGTGACCACTCAAAACTGAAGGTATGATAAATCTCACCTATATTTGTTACAAAAATTCTGCGTAACGCTAACAGTGTCATCCAGATTGACAACACTATGCCACCATCCGGTCGGTATAAACACAATATCACCTGGTTTCTGCACGCACTCTATTGGTAAGTTGCTCTTCTAACAACGATAACGATGACGATAATGAAAACGGTCAACATTCAAAGGTATCCCTCATTAAAACTTGATACGATGAATACATATATCTTATTAGACGTTTTGTTGTGTAGTATCGCTGAGTATTTTTACGAGTTGTGCCGTATTTTGAGTCAAAAGACAAATAGCGAGTAAAAATACTCAGCGATACCACACAACAAAACGTCTTATAANTGTTATTTCAGTGCGGGCGAATTTCGCGGATATTTATTTACGGGGAGTGCGTGACAGAAGTATGCGAGGCGGAACGGAATTGGCGCGTTGTCGTGTTGCTGTTTCTATTTTCGTCAATAAATGAAGAAATTTCCAGGTCGTCTAGCTGTTTTTCTTTGTTCGATTCATCTAATAAACTTGGATATATATTTGCCAGGCATTCTAAATCTTCGTCGTCGGAAATATGATTCAAATTGTCCGCCATTTTTTTTCGTAACTACAATTCGCGATGCGAGAAAACCTGTTTAAGCGGTACTCTAGAGTACAAATATTGCGTGATATTTGTACTCGTCTATGGCGTTATTTGTACTCTCCGAAGTGTAGCTGGATAATAAAGCTCTGTAATGTCCAGGCCCCGGTTGTTCAAAGGTTGGATAACGCTCTCCACTGGATAAAAAATGATATCCGGTGGATAACGCTATACGTTTAACTGTGACTCATCCGCTGGAGAGCTATTTATCCGTTGGATAGCGTTATCCGCCTTCTATGCAATTGGGCCCAGGAATTTTAATCATACATATTTAGTCTAGAGTTTCTTTTTCATGCTGTGGTCTCATATATTCCCACCCTTTATTTGATGTATCATATCTTATGTGCTCTTTTTGTGTTTCTATCCTAAATCAAACCTTTCGCTGATTGATTATACCTTGGCTTTGCACAGTTTTCTTTATATTTCTTTTTTACACCTATTGTTTCCTGATCTGTTATATTTTCTCCCAGCAAAACAAAGCTTTTGTGTTATGTGACCTTTCCCAATTCCTAAATTTTAACAGATTTTAACCAATCAAAATCGCGTTCAGCAAAAGAAGCTTCTAGCGTATGAGTTATCTCCGAGACACCAACGGTGAGTCCTATTTTTTTATCCAATTTTTTCTTTTTTTACCACAGTCTTATAGATATTACCCAATCATTATCTAACTGTGGTCAAAATTCGAAAGAAATCTATATTGGAGTTATCTGACGCCGAATGTCCTTAACCCTTTCGCGCCTCTGATATGATTGTTAATTCTGCTACCTCTTTGATACTCATTTCCTTGTAAATTTGCTGTTGGAACAATATAACGATTTCTACGTACGTAATAGCTAATAATTTTGAATATCCTCATTACCTTTGTGCTTGATGAAATATATACATATATATATGAATTATGGGATAAGAGTACCTGTTAATCACTTCTAGAAGTTAAAGGATTAACTCGAGATTCATACCAAATACGGTCGGGTGTAAATCCACCAGTAAAACGCATCCTCCATGTCGTAGTCTCTTTTTTGGTAATAATTGTTCTTCACACCTAGAGGATATGAAAAAATTTAAGCTTACGGTTATCTCCTTCATTTGGGCAGTTTTAAGGCCACAACTGGTATCTGTTGTTCTTTAAGAGGGACATAATATATATTTTCAAATTGCAACGTTTTTGAAAACAGGTAAATACCTATGTACCTATATAAATATATCAACAGGTCTGTCGGGATGAAAGTGTAGCCCCTGTTTTTTCCTATCTGAATGTATATTATTTTTATGTATCGAGCACTGTAATACGAAAAATTGAAATGCAGACTTGCTATATATATTTAGTATAATTTCAGAGCTGAGCAAAGAGTTTCCAGCAATCTGATTGGTCGAGCGTTTCCTTATATGACGCTATATAAACCGCTCCACGCGGTTTATATAAAATGTTAAAATAAAATGTTAATAAATGTTACTAAAATGTTATGATTTTAGAAATTTCTCTGTTGTTCAGTTCTGAAATTATACTAAAACAATTATTCGCCTCAGGTTCGGTGAATATTGTCGAATAATCCCCTCGACTTCGTCTCGGGGATTATTCGACGATATTCACCTCGCCTTCGGCCTCTTACTGAAGTTGAGTTGCCATGCACTGGTCTGATGTAGGGGCTGGGCTGTCTGCATAGCTTTCCTTATCACTTACCTGGAATGTGATAGACGGAGGGAGGGTACATGCCCCATAATTTAGCCCCTTGTACCAGAGCTAGCCAGCCGGTTGTATTGGCAGGGTCTACGTGCCATCCTGAGCCGCTCCGTTTGGCAGCCATGATAATCCACCGCCAGTCAAGGCGAAGCTCTTCCTCCACATTGTTCATGAAGTCATCTGACTCCGCGAAGAAGTCTGGGATGATGTAGTCCTGCATTGACAAGGAAGAGTACATATTTGAAAATGTGCCTAGAAAGGAAGTCCATCGTATGAAGTAAAGGTTAAGTTGTGTCTTGTACACAAGCTCACCCGGCCAGATTTCACTCTTTTGCTCCTTAAGATTAGCGTCGACTCGTCAAAAAAGCTTTAGAAATGCGTCGGGACGGGGGCAGGGGGCAGGGGGCAGAGGGATGAGTTACTTGCGATGAACCACAGGAAGAGCGACAATTCCCTCAGATGTCCCCTGCTAAGGAGACTAGTGTGCACATAGGCAGCCATAAGAATCACTCAAAGTGTTTGCAAGTTTTGCAATCATTACACTGATGAGTGGAATTCGAGTCTCCTTCGTTTCCAATTTTTTTTTGTGTTGATGTTAATAGTTGCAGTAGACGAATGCGTGCCACTGTGTCAGTTGGCTATAGGAATAATAATGCACGTGACATATGCACGCCCCTTACGACATACCAATACGGTAACGACAGGCTACATTTTGTATAAAAGCAATGGTTCTATTGATGGATTGAATTCGTCACTCCCCACGACTCGAGCGTCTCTCGAAAATTTACCTCTCGCAGCTCAGGGTACAGATCAAACACATCTGACATAAATATAACCCATGGTGCAGTCTCATTGGCGGCTCTCTCCTTCAGATACTTCACGTAGTTTGTTAGTGGCACTGGGGTTAGCCTCTGACCAACATAAACGCCGTCCTCTATGCGAGGGTCATGCTGGAATGTCTCAAACAGCCACTTGTTCATGGCTTTCCAGTTGTCCATCATCCCCGTTATTATACAAGCTTGACCTGCAAATTCTCATTCATTATTAAGACTTAAATCGGAGATACCTAAGTGCCTGTACATTTTAGCTAAGTATGTAATATCCCACAGTAGGAACTAAACGCTTAATAAAGTTTAGGAGAATTTCGAAAATTTATTTCAATTTAAGTCGCAACTAGTTTCGTTGGCACTACCTTATGAAAAAATAACAGTAGACTTACTTCACCATTGCGTTTAGGCAGTTTACTTAATATGCCATTGCAGAATCAACTGAACGTCAACGACAAAGTAAACGAATTACAAACCAGTACCTGGTTTCATGCATTTCTCAGTGAACTCTTCTTTGCTGGGTTTATGTATCTTTGGAATGGTACAGTGCGTTTCGTGTATTGGCCAAATGTCCTCCACATCCAGTTTCCTGAGATAATCTTCAAAAGCGCGTAGTCTGGATATAAATCTCTTTTCGTGCGGCTGAAGGTCATCTATGTTGTGCAAAGCTTTGAACATGGGAGGAAGAAATAACGATTAATTGACTTTCTTGTTTGTCATAGTTTCACTCACTCTTTTTTGTAGAAAAAATTTGCACTGTTAAGCAGATCGACGGATTTAATTTCAGTGAGTAGGGTAGCCCTACAGCCTTGTCTCACCTCCATTTTATTTTGTCCCATTTCCTTGAAAGTGAACAAGGCGGGATCAAATACACTCAAGGACCCACCCATCCCTTCCCTTCTAAGCACGTTTCATTAACCCTCTGACCCCTAAGAGTGACCAGCATCTACTTTCTCCTTACAATATCACCCCTGAATCACACATTAAGGTTAGGAGAATACAGGAAATGATCACCAACTAAACAAGCTCTTGATTGTTTAACAATTCTTCTCGTCAGCGCCTTAGGAAATGTATCGAAAACAGTACTGGTGTTAGGGTGTTAAGGGTTAAGACCTTGAATTTTTTTTTTTTTGCTATCTTTAAGGACAGAGCTGAATAACATATACGCATGCGCCAGGATTTGCCACGGAAACACAGATTTTGAGTCGTTCGTATGGTTGATTTCCTATTCTGTTGCTTCGAGGCGTCGTTTTCCTTGCCGCTTTTCTTTTACAGAACAACCTCCAAAAATTTGGTACACCCCCTAAAAATTTTCAAAAATTAATTTTCTCCTTCAAAGCTTTGGAAATAGGAAAGTGTCTTCAACGAAAACAGAGTTCCTCGGTTTTAATGGTCAGCCCTTATTATTTTCCGCTAAATTCGCTAAATTTTAGACCTAGGACACTTGAGCCCGCGTTGTTGACCGCATACCCGCTGACGTAGCATTTCATTATTCAGCTCTGTCATCTTTAAGCGCTCGCTATTTTTATCCCACACGTGAATGGAAATAATTCTTGATTATGGCTTGAAAAATTTATTTCTTATTATTTTTGGTATCGATTCATTAAACCTCTTCCAACTTCGATGAAAACGACTCATAAACCATAACTCTCGTACTCTCCTTGCAATATCTTACATTTATAGAATTGGGTCAGTCTGAAGAAGGAGCACCATAGAGTGGTGAGTTTGGAAAGTCAGTGTCAATCCAATAAGCGCTCGAGCTCGAATTTAATACTGCAGCGCCTCTCGGAAACTAGGAACTGTGCATAACCGCTGCCCAAACCTTTTTCACCGATAGGTGCCGTGGATTTTTCACACAAGCCAACCAAACTCTTCTGAGTCAGGCGCTGAATGAAGTAAACAAAGTTTTCGACGACACGCAGAAAAAAATCACTCTAAATTCCAAGCATTTACACTGACTTGCAGCATGTAAATTGAAAGACTTACATTCCACTTGATCGCCTTCGATGTAAAACGTATCTGACTTTTGACACAGTTTCCGGCCACCCTTAAGCGATCCACAAATTTTCAACTTGTATTCGCCACTTTTCAAGGTCTCAGGCACGAGTACGTGCTTTTCGTAAACTGATTTTCCTCCAGTTTTTTGAGGAAATATGATATCAGATGGGTACGCATGAGCAGTGTGACCTTTGCTGTCTGTTACTTCCATACTCCAGGTGTCGATCTCCCCCTGATCAGATGCGATGACGACCCGTCTAGCCTTTCCGTTTGCAACCCATAAACTCGTATTCTTAGGAAGTAATATTTCAAATGCACCGTCTGCAAGGCTAGCTAAAAACAAAGACAAAGACAAAAGACAAATTTTAGTAATATTCGTTTGGTAGAAAAACAAGAAAATTACACGCAAGTATGGTAATCACAGATATACTTGTTGAGGAGTCTTTTTTTTTCTTTTAATGCAAGGTCACTGCAGCTACTGTTCTTCCAGGAATACTCTCGTTGCTGAGGCGACGGTTTTGTAGGCAATCACAACCTGCGCAAACTTTGTATCATAAGATTGTTTACTTCCAAATCCTCCTACGATCTCCGAAAACGCCACGAGCTAAAAAATGACCTCAGTCCTAACACCCCACCAATAAGGACTAATACCTCTGTTAGTAATTGACCCTCTTCTTGCCAAAGATAGTTACCAAGAGTAGGATGGAATCACATATTTATAATATAGGTGGCCTCATGCGTTCAAGATATTGATTAAGTGCGTGGCCTGTGTGGTTCACGGTCTATTATTTTCTGAGCGCGTTTTTTTTTTTTTATCAGTTTCTCGTGCTAATCGAACAATTCTATCTGTGTCTAATGAATCTCTATAGCTACTGCATGATGAAAATCTTTCGTATGCAACAACAAACCTGATGTGAATATCTATAACAATAATTCTGAGTGCGAAATGATCACAAATTCTAATTTTCCTTAAAAAAAAAAAAAATGAAAATCAGGGAGTAAGTCCGTGTAATCTACACTGCAGTTTCAGATCCATTCATTCTTACCAGGCACAAATAACAGAGACGCAATCGTGTAGATTAATGCCATCTTTATTTCCCTTGAACGAAAACAAAAAAGAATATAGTTGGTTTTTGCTTCATAGGGAATATTTAATAAGGATGCATAGAACACTCAAACCGCAATATATCAAGTTGGAAACTTCATTTGTAATACTGAATCACAAGTAAGTAAACGGTTGAATCAAAAACATATACCCTTGGTATCTTGTACACCTCTAGTTGAACCCATCGCAACGTATATTAGTTTACAATTTAACGGTTCAATCACAAGTAAGTTAACGGTTGAGCCAAACGCATATATCCTTGTTATCCTCTACACCTCTGTTTGAACTCCCAGTTTACACAAGGGTTTCAATGAATTTTTCCATGAGCGGCTGTTTGTTATGGGCGGCCGTAAGGCGAAACCCAAACACGAGAGCCTTCTCGCAGATTAAAACCCTTTAACTCCCAGAAGTGATAAACATGTAATTTCTCCCTATAATATCCACACATTATCCAGCAAACAGTTGATGAGAATACTCAAACTTATTAGGTAGAGGTTATTATCTTGATTTAACACCAAACTCTTGTAACTATTTTACAAGGAAATGTGTAGCAGCTAGAGGAGAGAAGGTCACAATCAAATCTTAGGGTTCAAGGGGTCAAACAGACAGTGGTGAGAGCTTGGTACACTGATGTATTACAGGCGGCGGTATACAGCGCGCCGGGAACTAACTTTCGTCATTGAGACTCCTGGTTCACTCCAAATACTGATCACCCTCTTATCTCAAAGTTGAGATTATGCAGCTCGAATGATCGCCGATGCATCAAGTTTTCTTTTGTTATCAAGGTTCTAGAAAAAGAGGTACAGTAATATACTTACAATGCCGAGCGAGGTTTATCCCTTTTCTCTGTAACTTTCTTCCTATTACCCAATGTGATAGTTTGTGATAGAGGCTTGATCATTCCTCTGCATTCGATAGGAACCAATGACACCTGTTATGGTTTCCACCATTCACGTTGTTCAAACACAGTGCACAGGCTGAATCAATAGATCTGCGAAACTCAGTGGTTTTAAGAGAAAAATAAATCAAAATTTTCGTTTTTATTCATTACGTCGTAAAAGTTTGGTTAAATTACCCGATAGATAATTCAAACCTTTGCGAGATTTAAGTTCGTTTAAAAGATTCTTCGATGAACTCGACGCTCAATTATATCACCTTCACATAAATTATCATGATAAATAATAAACTCCTTGCGGCCGTCTAGCTGAAGACTGGAAATTTTTACTATTCCCATCCTAAGGCCAAAGACTATGGACACCTGGTTAGGGATGAGAGACTTTATAGCCACTCTGGGGTTCAGTTTTCAAACGCACGTCCTGCTTATTTATGGCGGCACACACCAAATGAATGTCCGTGTTCGAGAATTTGATCATCCGCGTACGAATTGTTTCTCCCGTCCATCATGTTTTCTTTGAATCGAAGTTCCTTTTCGCAACTTTTCATTTTGAGGTTATTTTCGTCGTTTAGATTGAGATTTTTTTTTTCTCTTGTGTCTCATCTTTTCGTCTGGTCCTCGTTTGATTTTGTTAGCATTATCATAAGTAACTCATCTTTTCAAGTTTAGACAGAAGAGAATTGTTTCTCTATTGGATTGTGAATTTTTTGAAAGGAACAACGTTATGTCGTGATAGCAGAAAACTGATTTCACAGACAAAATTGGGAAGGAACTCCTTCTTCCCATTTATTTAACCCTATAATGCCTTAATGCAGCGCCAGCGGCGGCTTTGCGCGAGCTAATCCAATCACATCGGTTCGCCATATTGACCGGGGGAAAAAATAGTTCCTGGGTTCTAGTAATAAATCATATGCTTTGTAAGGCTTTGTTTATGCTGGCGACGTTTGTTTCTCTTTCGAGATGATGTGAATTTAGCACGAATAAAAAGGTCATAGTGCGGCGGCTTACGACAAAAAGATTAAAAAAGCTGCCTTGACGAATGATCAGTTTGTCTTGAGGGATCACGGCGCGATCTTATCGAGGAACGCAACACTTCCTGTCATCTCAGCACAGCGAAGTATAGAGGAAGTTTGTTGCAGAAAGTTTCGGTACACGAACGTTTCTACTTTACAGACAGCGATCTTCCAGAACCAGTGGCGAGACGAATATGCAGCAATTCAGAGCGAAATTTCATCAAGAGATACGAGTGGAGTTCATATCGCATTTCTCGCCGACGCACACGGAAGAAGCATTTTGTTGTATGAAAATAATGAGGTCGAAGGGCGAACTGTGTGATGTAAACTTACTCGTTGGAGAACCTCAGCGGCGGATTGCCGCGCATCGACTTGTGTTGGCATCATCTAGTCCATATTTTCAAGCCATGTTTACGGGTGAGCTAATCGAAAGCAGGCAAAGAGACATAACGCTGCAAGGAGTCGATGCCGATGCCATCGAACTGCTTGTAGACTTTGCCTACACCGCGCGCATTCAAGTAAGCGAAGATAACGTGCAAGCTTTGCTTCCCGCGTCGAGTTTATTACAACTAACTAGCGTAAAAGACGCTTGCTGTGAATTTCTTAAGAATCAGCTTCATCCCTCAAACTGTCTTGGTATCCGGGCGTTCGCCGACACTCATACTTGCGTTGACTTATTAGAATCGTCGCATCGTTTCGCCCTTCAGCACTTTTTGCAAGTCTCGCAAACCGAGGAATTTATGCTACTTTCTGTCGAACAAGTCTTGGATCTCATCTCTAATAGTGACGTGAACGTAGAAAATGAGGAGCAAGTGTACAATGCGGTTATAAACTGGGTCAAGTTCGACGTAGACAATCGCAGGGAATTTGTGAGAGACCTGTTACCATTTGTGAGGCTTCCCCTGTTGACTAGAGAATGCTTAATGACCCGCGTCGAAACGGAAGTATTGATTCGGAATACCCCTGACTGCAAAGACTTGCTCATCGAAGCGATGAAGTACCACCTTTTACCAGAGCAGCGCTCAGTGCTTCAAAGTCCCAGAACTGTCTCTCGTAAGCCTACTGGACAGGTGCCAATCTTGTTTGCCATTGGTGGGGGCAGTTTGTTCGCCATTCATAGTGAGTGCGAGTGCTATGATCCCAGGATTGACAGATGGTGCATGGTGACTCCCATGTCAACCAAACGTGCTAGGGTGGGTGTTGGCACAGTATGTGGAAAGATTTATGCTGTTGGTGGATATGATGGGAGTAATGACTTGGCAACAGTTGAAGCCTACTGTCCTCAGAGTAACCAGTGGTTGTTAGTTCCATCCATGGGAACTCGTCGTAGCTGTCTGGGTGTTGCTGTCTTAAATGGTTTAATTTATGCCATTGGTGGCTATGATGGAGCATCCTGTTTGAACAGTGTTGAGAGATTTGACCCTTTGACAGCTCAGTGGATGTCGGTTGCAGCCATGAACACAAGAAGGTATCTTTTTCTTTTGGTGGATACTTGTACAAATCAAATAACTTTCTCACATTAAATTTCTATGCCACATCTCTTTTTCATATATTTGACAATTATTGTAAAATTAGGAAATTGAGTGATATGACCTCATTAACATTATTTGTAGAGAAACTTCAAAGAGTTGTGAATAAACCATGCATAATGGTAAAGAGATTTTTAAGGATGGAGAATATACACACAAATTGAAATTGTTTAAGTGAAGAAAACATCTGCTCAATTTCTCAAGGTGAACAAAACAGTACAGAACTTGAGTTGTATTACAGGTCTCTGGGGTTCAGTTGATGTCTGTAACTTGAATGAGCCACTTACGAGAATGGGCCTCTTGAAAGCAGCCACAACAGGTGTTAATTAGCCATCAGTGGCCTCCTGGGCATGCTTTGCAAGTTGGGAACATTACAATACCGTGTAGACAATAATCACCCCAGAGGCAGGCCAAAACATGTCTAACAGACTGTTAGACTAAAGTTTGGACTGAAAAGCCATCTTTGCCTGTTTGGTTGTGATCCCCAAACAGACTGCCAATCTTCAGCCAGGGGTCTGTAATTTTCTTGTCAGCAGTGCAAATAAGACCTTTTTGCTCAGTAACATTTCAAAATTGTTACAGAAGTTATAAGCAACAAAACAAGCACCAAGATAAGGTCTGTTGACAAAAGTGTCAATTAAGAAATCACTTGGCATCACAGCCAACAAGCAGTGCTCAACCAACATTGTATAGAGTGACATACTGTACATATATCTTATTAACCAAGCGCGAGGGCCGTACTGGGAGAATATCGGCCTGAGGTCTTGACAGTATGGACCGAGCGCCGATATTCTTCCAGTACGGTCCTGAGCAAGCTTGGTTAATAAGAGATTTATTATATGACTGAAGTTCAAAGGGACACAAGTGCGGTATCATTCGGGACCATTCGGGACAGTGCCCGGTCCAGTACTTGGAAAATATTGGACCGGCAATAGAGCATTTTTGATTGGTTGATTTTAGTTATTGGCCCTCTGACTGCCCGAGTCATGTAATAAAGTGACATACTGTACAATGTCTGATTCTTACCTCCAACACTTTCTTCCCTCAGGCGGTATGTGCGTGTGGGTGTAGTGAATGGCGTAATTTATGCCATAGGAGGCTATGATGGAAGTGCACACCTAAACACAGTGGAGTGCTTTGACCCCATGACCAATACATGGAGAACAGTTGCCAGTATGGCCAGTAGAAGAAGCAGTGCTGGTGTGGCTGTACTGAATGACATGCTGTATGTTGTTGGTAAGTTACAGGAGTAGAGTCTTCCTGTTAGCATATTGGGCTGCATCTTCTGTAATTGTAGCCAGCTGTCATGTTTCCTTTACTCAGTCTTTAATCCCATTCACACCAGCAAAACATGTCAAGTAAAACTGCTTTTAACTGAATGAAAATAGGAACATGAGTTACTAAGAAACTGTGTTTCCCATAGGCTTGAAGTAGTCACTAACTTTTATTTTCAATGTGCTAAACTACCATTTCAACTTTGTTGATATGTTCAAATTATTTCGTTACCCCCACGGACGCAGCCCCAAACAGTTTCTTTTTTTAGAAACTAACAGCCTTTATTCATTTGCTAAATTAGAAGTTAAGTAAACCAATTTAAACGGTGTTTAGCAGAACAGCTTTAAAACATGTTTAAGCTTTGGTGTGAAAGGCATATTTGTCTAACATTTAGATAAAATAAACAGGTGCATGAAATGTGCACACCTTATTTTCTGTTTTGAATCTCCCTTTTATCCCTGTCTTGGTCTGAGAATAAGCTTTAAGTCATCATCATCCATTTGCTCTGACAAAGGGCCAATTCTTGGAGTATTAGTTTTAATTGTTGATAAAACAAAGCCTCTTAAAGCATTTGTTAAATAGCCAGAGGAGTTTTACCATCAGCCACTTTGTCTACCGTGTATTTCAATTGCAAACAATGTAGTCATTCTGTATGGGATACCAAAGTATCAAAGGGACAAACTACAGAGGATCCAGAATATCGCTGCTCGTATGATAACCGGAACACGAAACACTGACCATATCACACCTATTTTAAAGAATCTACATTGGCTGCTAATCGAAGCAACAGTTAATTTTAAGATATTACTTATAACTTATAAGATCTTAAATGAGCAATCTACTAGTTATTTAGCACCTATTATACAAGAATACCAGCCATCAAGAACACTGAGATCATCAACTCCCTTACAGTCATGCATCCCACCTATTAAATCCAATTCCTATGGTGGACGCGCTTTTTCAGTATCTGCACCGAAACTATGGAACTCAATTCCCAAATATAATAAAAGAGCGGAAACAGTAGAAACATTCAAAACTGGGCTTAAGACATTTTTGTTTGAAAAACATTACTGTTAATTAATTACTTATTCTTATGTCTTAATAATCTGTTGTTAGGAGCATTGAGATTAGAAATGTGCCCTATAAGCATCTATTTATTATTATTATTATTTTTATTAGTCAGTGCTGCAGGAACTCAAGACATGTAGTATTTCATAAAGTGTCCATTATTTAAAAATTCTCTTTAACACCTCTTTTGCCATGTACATGTAGGTGGCAATGATGGAGCGTCTTGTTTGAACACAATGGAACGCTATGACCCTGTTGCGGATGCTTGGACTTGCCTGGCCCCAATGAGCATTCGCCGTAGCACCCATGATGTGGCAGTGATTGACAGAGTATTGTTTGCAGTGGGTGGCAATGATGGCAGCTCCAGTCTTAACAGTATTGAAAAGTATGACCCAGATACCAACAAGTGGACTTCAGTTGTCTCCATGAGCACAACAAGAAGCAGTGTAGGGGTGACTGTGGCTCATGTTTTGCTGCTCTAAAGCTAGAACATTAGTCAGAAAGTTTATTGAAATGAGTGACTTAATGGTAATTGGTTTTGATTGGTATAATATTTCATGTTCTATATATTGATGGTCAATTTCTACCACCTGTACTGTGTGTAAATTATTTTATTTTGCAGGGTTGTAAAACTGTTTCTGTATCTTTGCATAGTGTCCTAAACAGCTGTTGTTTGGTCTTGTCATGCAACTCTCTCTGTCCTCCACCACTGCCTGCTTCATGGTGGGGGAGAGAGCATGCATGATGAGATCAAACAACAGCTGCAAAAGGCGATGATTGACCACCATGTTTGTTTGATGAGTTACAGATTGAAGTACATTGTGTATCAGACCTAAAAAAATAGTGTAGTCAAGTTACACTTCATAGACTTTATAAACAGATTTTCCCCAATATATGAAAACCCATCTCCAAATTGGTGACTGAAAATTAACACAAGGTCAATCCTTGTTAAAGCTACATGCTGCTGTGTTTTTTCAGAATTCTTTTTATAAAAGAAAGTTAAGTGCAAATCACCTGTAAAGATTTGTCACTTGCTATAATAAATATAATTCACTTCATAAGAAATCCATACTAGCATAAGATTTCTTTGTTCTGTAATTTTACAAATGTTCATGCAGCCTTGTCTTTTCTGAGAAAATTCATTATCAAATACTGGAGACTGACAACATCTAAGTCGTTTTAGGGTATTTAGACTTGTACTTCAGTTTAATTAATAGTTACAATCAAAGAAATATCTTCCGAATATGCATTTTCAACAGTTTACTTCTCTCTGATTTTGAATTGTGTGGACATTACAATCTTTACCATTTTTGAGTTTTTTTGCAAGATTACTGAGTTTGACTTTTCTGTATTTGCTATCATAATGCATGGAAACTTTTCATTTTGTTGTTCTATTTGAAGATGTTAGCTGCCCTTAGAAGGAAGTTGATTGCACTTTTACATTGCAATCATGTACAAAGTTCTTGTATCTAATAAAGTTAATTCAGATTTTTAGTTCATTGAATTGCAACTTTTAATTTGTGCACAAATGCAAAGTACGTACAATTCTGAAACTCCTTAAACATTAGCACACAAACACAAAAAACTTTTTTCTGCTTTTGCAAAACTTGGCTCCCCAAATGGAAAGACTTCTTTTTGTATCAATCACTGAAAGCCCCTTAAAGGATCTTAACCCTTTACACTCTAACATCAGAATGTATAATATACGTCGATTGAAGCTCTCCCTCAGGGGCTTTTCAGCCACAATGTACATGTAGACTAACTAAGAGTTTAAAAATCTCCACTGGCAGGAGGCAGACCAGTGGACTATTTACAGAGCGCAGCCGAGGAGTTGAACTAAGGGGTAACTGAGAACAAAGCCAGTGAGTGGCAGGGTGGAGGAATTGAACCCGGGACACTGCATTACAAGTCCTGCACCCTAACCACTTGGCCACGCTGCCTCCTATGGATCGAAGGGTTAAAGAAGGATTTTTATGATGCTAATAGGATACTGCTAGTTAAATAAGAGAAGGGGTGCCTCCGGCATAGAAGAAAGTTAAAAGCATGTTTACAGCACAATCAATTTACAGTGCAATAAAAGAAAAAATGAAGTCAAAAATGGATTTTATTTTCATCAGTATGGAAAAAGAACATGTGTCAATTAAGTATACCTTTGGTTTATTGAGGTACATGTACACTTTCCATACATAACATACCAACACTGTCGTTACATTAAAACTATCGTTGTCCCACCACACATTTAAATGCACTTTTGGCAAAAACAGGTAGCACTGTTTACTAAAGCCCTTTCAATCTTTTTACTTGTAAAAAAAAAAAACAAACAAAAAAAAGATTCAGAGAAGTGTACGAGAAACTCTGTCCCACTTCAGGAGGTAGTACAATTTGATCAACAATCTGTGTCAATAGAGGCCAGCAGCTGGGCTTGCAAATCACAGTTCCTTAACATCTGCTTATTTGTTATTATTTCTTCGATTTCCCTGACAAGTCACTAAAACAAAACAAAACAGTTTGAGTATTGAATTGTACAACATGAGCTATAAAAGATCATAAAGACATTTTACATTTACATAAAAATAAGTAACTAACATAATTGATCACCGACAGAAAACCAAATAATTATCTCCTCACTAACATGGATTCAAAACCTGTCAAAGCCTGAACTTTTTTGTCAAGCTTCTTTATGGCAATGGCAGTTCAACTGTGAGAATGATGGCCTTATTTGATTTTCAATCTGCAGGTCAAATGAAATTGACCTCAACACAAATTGTATTGGATCCCTCCACTGGCAAGAGGAATCCTTTTAAGACGTTGTCCCCCCCCCCACCCCCCCAACACGTGGCCTTATAACTCAGTTGGTAGTAGCACACAAACAGTGTCTGGGAATCCTGTAAAAGCCTGATTTTTTTTCCCCCAGGCTTTTTTCTGCTACTGCTTAAATTGCAGCTCACCTGTGAGGTCATACCGTAGCTTAATTGGATTATCAAGTGTTGGAAAGAATGTAAACAAGAGAAAGTTATAGTAATTACAGTTACTAACTAAAGGTTCTCCTGTAATTATGGATGGTTACTGATGGATTTTTGCTGTTACATGAATCACAGCACACCCAATACTCACTCTTCTATGTCATCTGTGTCTCTGACATTTAACATCAATGCTCCAGCATCCAAGAAGACCATATTTTGTGAGTTAGAAATCTACAAATGAAGTTTAAAATACACCACAATCAAACTACATAAAAAATGTACAGTGTAAAATTGAAAATTGCAAACCATATACCACAATTATGCTTCTCAAATAGTTCAGAAAATGGGATTTGTTTATAAAAATGGGGGAAACACAAGAAGCATGCCTGAGGAGGGGGCATACTTTTTTAATTAGATTTACTTAGACTGATGGGAGGGGTTCCAAGTACTGCACTTTTAATAATTATTATCTCTGATTTTTGGAACATTGAAATGAATCCAACTTCCCCCTACCCCACCACATTTTGTCTTAGGAAGTTTGGAAAACTGGGACTCCCCTGTCAAAATTTAGCCTGAAACCACACATAGCTAAACTAATGCAGGAGGAACTCCTACCGTGTTTGAGACATTTTGAGCCGCTCGTATCCTCCTCAGTTTTAAATAACCTGGATTTGACCTCAGAGCATTACCAAGGTAAACATTGTCAAGGGTGAACAAAAATTGATTTCCACAACAATGGTATGCAGGTTATACAAGTCAAAAATTTAATCAATGGTGTAATTTCTTGTTCCTGATGATTTCCTCTTTTATAGCTCTATGAATTATTAAATGCTCTTAGAAGAAAAACCTAAATTTTACCAACACCCAATAAGCTCTAAATAAGTTACAAAGCATTATAACTTGTAACAACTTGAAGTAACTTTCAACATGAATTGCCATTTTTCAACTGCAAACTTCTTGTCTTCTTAGAGGTACTACTCAAAGACTTCTCTGGACTAATAGTCCATTTTACAGTTGTGTGCTTGGTTGCCAAGCCTTTGAATGGGAGTGAGGCTAGGGTTGACCTTGTTATGATACAAACCTTGCTGTCTTTGAAATGTAAACACTTTGTTATCATGCTAAGTAGATACAGGTCTCTATCACAACAAGGTCACCTTCAGCCTCACTCTGAATCAAAGGCTTGGCAACTAAGTACACAACTGTAAAATGGCCTATTGGCCACTTCCAAGTTCTCACAGTTTAGTAATCTGCTGCCCAAATTATGGCGCAAGAAACCAAGTGTGCAAGAAGCCAAGTGCAAAGTTGCTTTCATCAGTATAACAAATAAAGGGCCATGGTAATGAAAATAAGGACAATTCCTTGAAATTCAACATGGGAGAGTGAAAAATAATTATTTGAGGAGGAGAGGCATTCAGTTAAGTGATGCTGGCAAAGAAAGACCACAAAAAATTATGGAGGAGAAATTACACACAAGTGAGAGGAAATTTCCAGAACAAAAAATTTTGACTGCTTGAGTGTACAACTTCTCTGACATTGCAGAGCTGTTATTCAGCATCCACATGCATCCTTTGCTTGAGTTGTTTTGAAGTCATCATTTAACAGGTGTTACATTTCTTGCTGATTCATAGCAAACGCTTACTGTAGCTTGTGAAATGAAACGAAAGGGAGAAATTTTTACTCATTTTCATTACCCCAACATTTATTCTTTATACCAATGAGAGCGACTTTGCACTTAGCCTCGTTCTCACACCATAATTTTCGTACCAGATTACTAAACCATGAGAACTTGGAGGTGGCCTATTCAGTAAGAATCTACATCAAAGGATATCAGAGTGGCTGCCTTGGCCTCTCCCTCAGCCTGTACAATTTTTTGTTGTCGTTCCTGTATAGCCTTTTCCACCTGGTAATGAGCTCGCTGTGCTTCTTGCTGAGCTGTAAATAAAAAAAAAAGGAAAATGATAATAATGAAAACATAATGAAAAATTAATAATAATAATAATAATAATTATAATAACAATGAAAAAAATTCTCCTTTATTACCTAATGTTAGTTAAAGTGCATACAAAACATAAAAAACTAATTTCAGGAATTTATGTTGAAGGAACAGATATACATGTACTTCAGGGTTTGACACTAACTTTTCAACTTACTAGCCAAGTGGCTAATGACAGCTTAGATGTTACGACAATTTAAGCTTGTTTACTGGCCAAGCTGGCAAGTGGGAATCGAAAACCACTAGCCAAAACCAAATTTCTACTAGTCTGTGGCTAGTCAGCTACCGTAAGTGTCGAGCCCTGGTACTCTCATTGGTTACTCTTCTAGTATAACATAATCTCCAAATCCTCTTTAGCACTCACCAACTTGTTTTGCCTCAATAGCTGCTGTGTACTCTCGGCCAAAACTCAAGTCAGTCTGGAGAATTTAAAGGACAACATTAGCTGTACAAGAAAGACAAGTTTATCAACCACAGTTTTGCAATCAATGATATAGGCAGTGTGCCACTACCCTGCAGAAAATGTCAATGGTCTGCAATACAAATTTGTTCAATGTTTGTGACAGTAGAGGGGAGATAAAAAGACTTACAATGGATACATCATCCAAAATAATGAAGAAATCCTTGGCACGATCTGTCAACTGCCTTCTGATCAAAAGACTGACCTATATGTGAAAAAAAAAATAGAACATGGGGGAACATGTACATATCCAAAGCTGTGCTCTAAGAAAAATTGAAGGGAGCCCAGTGCTCTAAAACTGTGAAATCCAGGGTGCCCAGCATATGCTTTTCGATTAAAAACTAAAATTCCTGAGTCGCCCAAGAGCAAAAGTAAGGTGCCAGGGGCCACCAGGCACTGTTAGACCACAGCCCTGATATCTGTTTTTTTTTCTTAAGACATACTCAATTATTATTCATAACCTTTAATGTTTCCTTCATCATTAATAAGCAGCATACAGTACTAGTATGCTACAACTACATCACTGTTATGCAAAAATACATCGTGAAAAGCTTGAGTCTTTGGATTCAAGAAAACAATAATTTAAATATTTCTGTACATATCTAAACAGACTTTTGTACTTTATTTGCAAGTTTAGCCTCTGCAATTTTGAACACAACTCAGGTTAATGCTGTTGTCAAAAAGAAAATTAATTGTCATAATTCCACAGCTGAAAGATAAGAAATAGTATGACGTAGCATACCTCTTGACGCATCGTGATCAGCTGTGAAGCATTAAACTGAGCTACAACACTCTTCAAAACCTACACAATAGCAGACACAAACATCAATAATTATATATATTACAGTGTATGTAACAATAATAATTTTTAAATATAAATTAAAAATAGTTTGTGTTCCAAAATTTACTGGTTCCAGTTCTTACAATTAATTTTAATCCTTGCAAATGAATACTAAGTTGTGTTTCCACCTTTATTTCTCCCTCGACCTTTTGGAAAAACCTTGAGAGCACTATGCCCACCAAAAATGTATATGTAGAATCCAATACATAGAGGAAAAAATACCTTTTGATCTTTGATTTGATTTGATTTGATAACTACACCAACATTGGAAATGTCAAATGCTACAGATATCTTTACCAATTATGCACAATATGAATTTGCACCTCATTCATGATCGAGGGTAGAACTCTTTCGTCAAAGTCCAATCCCAATTTTCTGTACATATCAGGAAGCATAGTTGCCTGAGGACGAGCAAGCACTCGAAGGCCAATGTTAACCATCTGGAGGTCTAAACGGTGACAAAATACAGTATGCAACAACAACAACAATAAAATAAAAATGAGGAACTTCTCCATAGCCCTTATTAATGATAACCTCTCTCTTTTAAGACATGATCAACATTTCAGTGTTACCAATGAACATGACTGTAATTCTTTCTTTTGGACACACGTATCTACAGTAGGTAAACAAGTCACAAAAATCAGCAATGTCTCGTAGGCCTACTTTTGGATTAATAATGAGCTCTCTCCTTCAAGACACGATTAACATCACAATGTCACTTCACAATGATTATGATTGTACTTCTTTCCTGTGGATACATGTATCTCAGTGTTACTTTGTATAACAAATTTGTCTATTTACTGCATTATTCATAGTGTATCAACATTGTAACATTGAGGGTTAAACCAAACACAGATGAACTACGTTGTACCTTTGCTCCCAGTTGGAGAAATAATCTTCCTTGGTTTTGACCTTATGTCATAGATAATAGGGTAATGAAAC